TTTCTGCAACCTCTCAAACTAATATCATCAGCTAGGGATCAAGCATTCAAAAAATTAGCTCATAGTGGATATTTCATATTCAAACCATAACATTGTGTCCCTGGATCCCAAAGGCTAGTGGCCATGTCATAATGCAAAATGTATCTCCAAGAGTCTCAAAAGTCTTAATGTAAAGGAACCCCACCCTCCCCCCAACCCCTAGACCTTTTAAGGTAGCATGGCTGGAGATAAAAAGGGCTGGAGAGAATGTGGAAGTGAAAGCCAAGTGCTTGAAATGTTTCACCATGATACAAGGAAGAGACAATCAATTGACAAGTCTCACAAAAAGCACACAGTCAAGCTGGGCACTGGTGGCTCACACCTGTAATCCTAGCTACTGAGAAGGCAGAGATCAGGCAGATGGCAGTTCAAAGCCAGCCTGGGCAAATAGTTCATGAGACCCTATCTCGAAAAAACCCATCACAAAAAAGGGCTGGTGGAGTGGCTTAAAGTGCAGGCCCTGAGTTCAAACCGCAACACCACATTAAAAAAAAAAAAAGAAAGAAAGAGAGACAGCCAATCAAAAGTAGCCCAACCCAAGGTATAAAACCTACACTCAATCCTGCCTTTATGTACCTTTTCCCTTCTCTAGCTGCCCACTATCCCCCAAGCTATTAACAGTATCCCAATAAATCTGAGCTTTTCCTACTCTCTCATCTTGTAAATTCTTTTACCAACCTGTGGCTCTGAAATACGTGACATTTAAGAGCTCCAACACTGTTCAAAATCCCAAGTTCAGAGTCTTGAGACTCGACTCTTGACTGTGAACCACTGTAACAAAGCAAAAACAAATTACATACTTCCAACATATAATGACACAGAGTAAACATTCCTATTCCAAACAGGAGAAATAGGGAGCATAGAAATGAGTAATGGGACCAAAGATGGAAACCCAGCAGGGCAAGCATTAAATTCTGTAGTTCCGTGTCCAGTATTCAGGGCACATGGTGTTGTGATTGAATTCCAGTGGGCTTGGGCATCCCCACCCCTATAGCCTTGCTGGCTGCAGCCCACATGACCTCTCTCTTGTGCTTTCCTCAGCAGATGTTCCATGTTTCTGGCATCTCCAAAATCCTAGGGACTCCATCGCAGCTTAGGCTTCACCCTTTCAACTTCATACAACACCCTCTCAGGGTCTTCCTGCAGGAATTCTGACCCTGCCACACACTGCCTGGTCTCTAATACCTTCCTTTGTAATCTGGGTGGAAACCTCCATGACTCTGTAACTCATGCATTCTACATACCTGCCAAAGCCAGGATCATGTGGATAGTGCCAAGGTCTGCCACCAGCTCAAGCAGGAGCTGGACCCACTTGGATCATGGTTGCAGCACCCTCTGCATTCCTGAGTGGCTGAATCCAGGAAAACGTTTCCTTAGGTGATCCTGTGCAAGCAGGGAACCCTGAAGGCTCTCTCTTCTCAAGGGAAAGTCTTTCAAAGAAGTTTACAATTCTACACCCTGGAGCCTATCGCAGGTGGGCTCTGGCCAATTCCTAAGATACTCTGAAGGCATACTTCTTTTTGTCACAGTGCAATGTACTTGACTTCTTTTTAACAGCAATAATTCTTTAACAACCCCACCCTCCTTGTCCACAACTTTCAAACTCTCCTTTTCTGGCCAGACTACATGTTTTGTTTTAAATTTGTTTGCTCTGCTTTTTGCTCCCAGTTATCACTATAAATTTGGCTAAAAGGAGCTGGAAATACCCATGCCACAGCCTGAATGCTATGCTGTCTTGAAATTTCCTCCACCAAATTAAATAGCCCATCACCTTTAAACTTAGCCTCAAAGTCTCAAGACACCTGGGATGGTGAAGTGGCTCAAGCCGTAGAGCACCTGCCTAGCAAGCATGAGGCCCCAGCACAAAAAAAAAAAAAAAAAAAAATTCAAGACACTGGACAAAATGTAGACAAATTCTTTGCCACAATGTAACATGAATGGCTGCTAATCCAATTCGCAATAGAGTTCTCATTTTTATCTAAACCCTCATAAGCACAGACTTTACTGCCTGCATTTCTATTCCCATTCTGGTCTTCTGAGATTCTAGGGCTTCTCTAGCCCACATCTGTAAACTCTTCCAAATTCCTCTCACAAATCAGTTCAAAAGGTTTCTGAACCACTTTGCCAGGCTTATTCATAGCAATGACCCACTTCTCTGACACCAGTTTTCTGTATTAGTTAGTGCTCATCACTGTAACCAAAATACCTGACATAAACAACTTAAAGAAGGAACAATCTATTTAGCTCACACTTTCAGAGTTATCAGTTCATCATGGTGGGAAAGGCATGGCAGATCCGAATAGTTCACATCATAGTGGCCAGGAAGCAGAGTTAACGGGTGAGGGCAAGAAATAGCCCAGGGACACATAGCCCCAGTGACCTTCTTCCTTCAAAGGTCCCACTTCCTACTTTTTACTACCTAATAATATTGTCCTATTATGAATCCATCAAGAGATTAATCCATTGACTAGGTCAAAGCCCTCCTGATCTAATTATCTCTGAATCTACCCTCTTAGACACAACCAGATGTGTGACTTATCAATCTCTTAGATGTTCCTTAATTCAATCAAGTTGATGAGCAAGATGAACCATCAAAACTGCAGTTACCATCTTAAGCCCTTGCACTAAGGGAGTCTTTCATACGATTTTTCAAGGGCAAGCATGTGGGTCACACATAGATAGGTTGGCACCTTGATTGTCTAATATTTTAAAAAATAGCCTCTTCTGGAAGGGAGGTTGTACAAATTGCCTTGTTCACATAATTTAGTGAGAAGCACCATCCAATGGCTCCAAAGAAGACATAAATGATCAGTTTCTACGTTGGTCAAAGTAACTTGTATCTGGTTTTTGTTATAGTTAGTGTTTCTGACAAACAGCCTTTCAGGTGTGATCTTCTCTGTAATTTGGGACTAGGGAATGTTTGGAAAGGGAAGGTTTGTGTATTCCTAGCTAAGTATAGTGTGGAGTTAATCTTTAAGAGATTAGTGGGCAGCTACTAATCTTTAAGAAACAGAACAGTTAGGAACAAAGAGAAACTTCTGAGACTTGGTTCTAGTTTGGGGGGGGTGCTTATATGCACCTTATTCCCTGTTTCTTTTTGCCTTGTTACAGAATAGCACTATCACACCACCTACAAGACTGCCTTTGAATCATAGTGCCATAGTGTCGCCCAAGACTTTAAAATTAGAAGACAGGTTTATATTTTTCTGTTAAAAAATAACTATGCTTTTATTCTTTGGTGTCCTATGTCACCTAATAAAGTGAATTTGTATTTCATTAGGAATGAATGATGACTAAGGTCCACTCTAGAAAGTGCTGCACCATGAAACTAACTCCCCCAGCCGCTAAGCCTCTAAATCCTCCAATTATCAACTAGTTAAATAGAACAGCTGAGACCCTCTGGACTAAAAGGAAAATAATAAAGTATACAGACATGTGTCTTAGTCTTACATGAAAATGGAGGTTTATATGCTGCTTGCTCTTCCTTTTTAGTTACACTATATTGCTTATCCTCACCAAGAGAAAGAATAATACCTCACTCATGCATCTATGTAGTGACTCACTCCTGTAATCCCAGCACTTGGGAGGCAGAGGCAAGATAATTTCGGATTCAAGGCCAGCCTGGGCTACAAAGCAAATCCTTGCAAAGTCAGAAAGGGGGGCGGGGGAGAAGAGGAGAAGGAGGAGGAGGAGGAGGAGGAAGAAACTTGCATATTAAAGATCCTGCAAACTGCTTGACCCTGGCTGACTAGAATGTTATAAGTGGAGAGATGGACTATTACAGATCAGAAGCCAAAATTATCTTGGGCTATTTTAGGCCCTTTAATAGCCATTTACCTTATCTTTTATATCTGACCTAACAGTCTCATAACTAATGTACTTCTCAGAATGTATCATTAAACTTGGCAGTCTTCTACATTCCACCTTTCTAAAGTTAAGAATGCTATAATATCTAAATGTAGATTTCTCTGCATTTCTGTAACCTGCCTATCTGATGCTTCCAACAATGTATTTGGTAAATGCATTGATTTATGATGTTCTTTTGTTCTGTGACTACTAAAGTTCATGGAACCTCTCCCATGGTGGAACATGACATTCAGAAGCTCTTGAATCCCAGACCATAGTCACTCATATTTGCATAAGAAAAAACTATTTTATTTCTTTAATGCAGTTGTTATGTCTACAATATTGTACATTATTTTACATAAACCATGTTTCTATATAGTTCTATATAGATCAAGGTAGAAAACTACGAGAATATATAGTTTTCAGAATGAAAAATAACAATTTGAAAGAATATTCCTAAACACCCAAAGAATAACCTATAGTTACAAAAAGCATTGGAATGAGTTGTATTCCCATAGACCACCCAGTGAAGCCTAACTGAAGATTTCTGGAGCTGACACCTGATCTCAGGTTTAAACAGAGTGAGCTAGCCAATTAAATAGACATTGCACGCCAAAGAGACAGCAACGGGACAGTGTGTTCTTGTATTAAGAATCCCAAGCAAATGAAATCTTGCGCTCCGTGTAATAAACCTTTAACTTGCATTATATGATATTCTTTAATCATTTAAATGTTTATTGGGCGCCTACAGTATGCCAAGCTCTGATCCTGCAGTGAGGAAAACACACTGACCCTGTTCCCAAGGAGCTGACACTAAAGGGAGACATCTTAGTATGTTCTACCCTACAGGGATCCAAAATAGATAATCACGTAATATAAACCCGAGAAATCTGTCTTTGGCAGAGGAAAGGCACGCATGACCTTGGACCAGCTTCCAGGAAACAACCCCTCAGCTCCAGCACGACGAAAACATGGATTGCACCAGCCGCATTCTCCGCACCCGTGCGACGCTGCGCGTGGCAAGGAGCCGCGCACGGCTGTGACGCAACAGGCCCCGCCCCCTGCCCCCGCTGATAGGGCCCCGCCCCCTCGAGCGAAGTACGCAGGCTCGGCGGCCAGCTCGCGCTTGGCGGCGGACACTGCTCGCCCGGCAACGTCTTCTTGCCCAGGGCTTCTGAGAGGGTCACCGGCCTTGTCCCCTACCCCTCCCACGCTTGGAAGCTGGGTGCTGTGCTGCAGCCGCTGTCCTGCCCTCCGTGTTTGGTAAGCAGAATCCCCGGCGAGTCCTGGAGAGTGCTACCCCTCGCCCGGCCCGGCGGGAACCGAGCTGAGGGAGGATGGCAGCTTCTGGGGTAGAGAAGAGCAATAAGAAGAAGACCGAGAAGAAACTTGCTGCTCGAGAAGAAGCTAAATTGTTGGCGGGTTTCATGGGCGTCATGAATAACATGCGGAAACAGGTACCGCCTCTGCGGGAGTGACAGGCGGCAGGGGGAGGGAGGTGGTCCGGGGCTCGGGCCCTGGCTGGCGGCGCTGGCGCGCGGTGGATCGCGCACGACCCTCTCCTTCCCCTGTCCTCGTCCGCCTTTCCCGTGTGCTCGCACGCCCCGAACCTGCTAGCAGCGGAGGGTCGCGTTAAACAGCTTTGGTGCAAAAGTGCCTCCTTGTTCGCCGATGATGTGGCTCCCAAGTCAGACTCCTGGGGAAACTCCTCTGGCCGGCCTTCGGCGAAGGGTGTTGGTTGTGTAACAGCTCTGCCCTAGTTAGCTTTTAGTGAGGCGAGGAGCCTTCCTTGGGCGAGCCGTTGGAAGGCGTTGTGAGTTCTTGCGTGCAGAAGCCCACTGGCACAGCCCAATCCGAAGCCCCAAAGGGACAAGTGTTAGCTGGCCCTAGATCAAATACTCTTAAATAAGGATCTCCGCCCCCAACGCCTGTGTTACCCAGGTGGAACTAATTGAAGGCAAATCCTCCTGTGCGTGTTAATTTAGAGCAGAAACAGTCATCGATAAATGCCATGCCATCTTCTAAGGGCGCTGGGCGCTCCTGTTATTAAGAGGACCTCTTTGTTCTGTCTTTGATGTGTGGTGCATTCATGAGAGTCTGCAGCACCTCGTGGAAAGGTGGGTTTTGAAAAGAACAGATTTTAACCCTGGAGAAGGTAGATAGATTTTACTTTTTAATTCTGTAACATCTAATAGGCAGAGAAAAGTCGCTTGCTTACTTTTTGATTCTGTGAGCTTTATTTAGTAGAATATACACATGTAAGGAGAGTGTGGGAATGTTTGGGTTTTGTCAATTGTGGTCCCATTTTTCAAGAGGACAAAGCAGGATGTGAGGATGAGTTATTGCGGGATACTCAAGGACAGGGAAACGGGACACCAAGGCAGCAGGAAGCAACGTTTTATTGTGCCGGCACAGACTCGGGGGACTCTTATCCAAAGGCTGAGAACAAAGGGGCCTTACCTTATATACCCTTCCAAGCAGGTTACAGAAGCAAGAAGCAAGGGTTAATCCATATATGGTTACATGCAGCTCTATTGGCTACTTCACCCCCCTGTGCTAAGTGTGACCTTCAGGTTTAGATTCTTTAAGTTTTATCTCCCTGCTATGCCATCCCCTCCCCCCTGCTGCATTATCAGGACACAGACTTGCTTGTTTCTTTTCTGGAGCCTCCTCCCTGCTACAGAGTAACTGAAATAGCTTATTTTACCTAGTGGTTCTGCTGGAAGTATGGGCAGTAGTAGTAGAGGAATTCAAGATTTTTTTAAATGAAGATATGAACTGGTTTCTTTAAGCAAACCCTAGCTGCAGGGATCTAGTCTTCATTCGCCAGCTCCTGGCACAGTGTGCCAGTGCAGTAGGTATCTATGGGAATGCCTAAATCTTTTCTGACCTTTTTGCTGAAGTAGCTGGGAATGGCCCAATTGATTATTTTATGTAACTTACTTTCATGTATCTTTTTTCACATTCCTTTTCTTTCATGTAACCTTTTTGTTCATACAGCACCACTGACTTTAGATTGCTGGTGCATTTGTCTAGTGTATGTTGTAATGGTAGTTGAACACAGTTCACTGGTGCTTAAAATTGGAAAAGATGCATTGTGGCACCCACCCACTCCCCAAAGCCTGTGTCTTCCTCATGTACTCTAGCAATGTAAAGCATTACTTCGTTCCTTAAATAGGGTGCAAATGGGTTGCAGCATCAGATGTTAACATGAGGAGGGAGGGGTTGTCTGAGACTGCATGTTTAACTCTAGGTTTAAAAATTGATTCACATACTTTTTTTAGACTTAGCTTCCCTCCCTCCCCTTCTACCTCCATTCCTACCTGCCCAGGCTGGAACCTTGTTTGCTAGGTAAACACTCTACCACTTGAGTTATCCAGCCCCTAGACTTAGCTTTAGATTATCCAGCCCCTAGACTTAGACTTAGATTACAGTATTATCTGTTTATTTACTGTTGAAGTAGAAATACAGTTACTAGATTACAGTTACTGAAAAATCAAGGTTCTACTACTGAGTAGGAAGGGAAAATGGATACTTGATGAGGAAGCAAGGATCTCTTCCACCATGACTAATTTACCTTTATCTGCCCTGTTCTCTTTTTATCACTGGTTTTGAATGTTTCAGACTGTTTTCCAGTTACGCTTTTAGCAACTTTGTGGATTTCCGCATATTCTGGAAGATGCACAGTTTCGCTGCTTTGCAGTTGACTTACAGCATTTATGTCCTGTTTAACATAATAACACCAGAAAGACTTCATCAAGGATAAATGACAAGGGCAGTTGATGGGATTTGGCAGAAAAACAAGCTGGTCTGGGCCAGAGGAGGAATGTTTGGTTGAGAACCAATTTTATAAGTGTTCTTGTTCTTTAGTAAATATTTTTGTGTTGTGACTGTTTTTGTTCATCCTCTTAAACTCACTGCTTTACGGATCAAGATAATGCTTGGATGACAAGGACCCTCCCCATACATCCAGAAACATTCCTTTAAGATTTTGATAATACTCTGAACTTAGCATACCAAAATTCCCTGCACTATCATTTGTTTTGTGTTCTTAGACAACATGATTTAAGTCATTTCATCTCTGTGTAGCTGATTAGTCCATTTTCTGTTGCTCTAACAAAATATATGAAGATGAATAATTTCTAAAAAAGAGATTTACTTAATTCACAGTTCTGGAGGTACAAGACATGGCTGGCATCTGTTCATCTTCTGATGAGGACCACTTACTGTATCATGAAAACTGGAAGTGAATTAGATGGGTATGGAAGAGAAGCATGTGAAAGAGCAACCAAGAACTGAGGGGAAGTGCTATGTGTGCTCTAGAACAACCCATTTATGTTAACTAAGCCACTTTTTCCTCTCTGTTTTTTTTTTTTTTTTTTTCTTTTTTTCCCCTTTGGTGGGACTAGGGTTTAAACTCAGGGCTTCATGCTTGCAAAGCAGGCACTCCACCGCTTAAGCCATACCTCTAACCCATTCTGCTCTAATTATTTTGGAAATGGAGTCTCATGAACTTGCCTGGGCTGACCTCAAACTACGATCCTCCTGATCTCAGCCTCCCAAGTAGCTAGGATCACAGGCATGAGCCACTGGTACATGGCTTTAAGCCACTCTCATACAAATTATATTAGTCTTTTCATGAGCATGGATCCCTCATGACCTAGTTACCTATTGAAGCTCCATCTTTGGGCCAAATTTAATTGCTAGTTGTTTAAGTTTCAACATTAGTTTTAGTGAGGACAAACTACATCCAAATCATAGCAGTAGCACAATGACCAATTCTGTACATGGAGGCAGAATGGGGTTCTGCAGAGCCAGCAAACTTAACTTCTTGTAGAGCATTTTTCTACATCTTTTTGGTCATTTCTAGCCTTTTGTTTTTAAGTAAACTTTCCAGTGAAGTATAGTATACATGTAAGAGGGCACAGATCATAAATATGAAGCTCAATGAATTATTACAAAGTGAACACACCATCAACAATAGAAATAGAACAGGACCAGTACACAAAAGGTCCCCCACTGTTCCCTTCTCAGTTACCAATCCCCCATGATAACCATTGTCCTATCACCATAGATTCATTTTTATAAATAAATACAAATGGAATCATATAGTACGTACTCTTGTGTTTTAATGTTTTTCCTTTTTTTTTTTTTTTTTTGCATTGCAAGAGGTCAAATCCAGAGTCTTGCTCATGCTGGGCAAGCGCTGTGCCACTGAGTTATACTCTCAGCCCGTGTTTTAATTCCTTAAGCCAACATTATGAGGTTCATCTGTGCTGTGTGTGGCACTATTTCATCCTGTGGTACATAGTATTTCATTGTGTAGATAGTGTATTTACCCATTTAACTTTATGGACAATTTACCCATTCTGACTTTATGGAAATTTGAGTTATTTTCACTTTGATGCTATTTAAGAATAGTACTGCTTTAGGGGTAGGGGCATGGCTCAAGTGGTAGAACACCCTCCTAGTAAGTGCGAGGTCTCGAGTTCAAACCCCAGAACTGCACTCCCTCCTCAAAAAAAGAATAGTACTCCTTTAAACGGTTTTTTACATTTTGTAAAATGTAAATTTTTGGTGTGCATGTGTTTGCATTTCTGTTGGGAAATACTGAGAGGGGTGTTTTTGAGTCATAGGTATAACACAGTTAGTTTTTTTTATTATTATTATTACTTTATTGGTTGTAGTACTAAGGATTTTAACATGCTAGGCAAGTACTCTACCTCTTAAGCCACACCCCCAACCCTTTGTGTTTTGTTTTTGAGATAGGATCTCCCTAACTTCAGGCTGGCCTCAAACTCCAGATCCTCCTGCCTCTATCTATGAGTAGCTGAGATTATAGGCATGCACCACCACACCCAACTACACATTCAATTTTACTAGATAACTGTCATAGTCTTCTTCCAAAGTGATTATAGCAAATTATACGTCTGCCAATTGGTATTTACAGTATTTGTAACTTTAGCCACTCTCATGACTGTATAGGGACATCTCATTTAATTAGACTAATTACCTTTTGATTTATTTTCCTTTTTTGTTTGAGTTAATTTTATTACCAGATATATTCGAGAGAAGGTCTACAAGGCAGGACTAGATCACAATCACTGTCACTTGTGTGTGTTCTTTTGTGTTAATGAAATACAGGAGTTCTTAACATTTTTGAGGGACCTGTCTTGAGATCTTCCAGAGTACCACTATAGTTTTTCCACTTTAAATGAATTAAAGCATAATTAGCATTTAAAAGCCTTTGTTAAGGCCCTTATTGAGAGTTGTCTGAGAGAACAACACAGCTAATCTGAGCTTACTTCCTAGCTAAAATGAATTTGCTTTGCAAATGTACCTGACCAAGACAATGACCATGTGTCATTGTCTTTAGGGTATCTTGGGAATTATCTAAGCATTAAGCTGAAGCACCCACTCTGTACCAGCTACTCTGAAATGTTTTACATGCTCATCT